GAAATAAAAGTGAAAAGGTGGCATAAGAAGACATATAAAATTATGCAAGGATTTGAATTAAATAAGTAGGTGGGCTAAGAGACAAATAGAAAATTATAAGGAATTTATGCTTCTGGTGAGTTCTGACATCCGCTTATAAGGAGTAGGTAGGCGTGGCTTTTATGACTCGGTCGTTTCTACATTCTCGAAAATTGATAAACATGCAATAATTTTCTTCCAATTCTGCCCTTCTGAAACCCAACTTACTACCATTTCCCCCTTTGGCAAAGAAAATAATGGTCAAATTTGCAAAAACACCTTAAAGTGTGATATTTGTTATAATTAACTCTTAAACTTTTAATTATAAGAATTATACCATATTCTAAGTCATAAAACTGTAAAAGTTAGTTGATTTGTTAAAAATTTTGTTTCGTTTTGTTGATGCCAAAATCTGTCCAAGTGTGGAGGAGCGAGTTGATGAGAGCGAACAACTGGAGATTTGATGCCTACAAAAATAGGTAGTAAGTACACGCTAGACAGATAAATTTCAGACAGATTTCATACCTGATTAAGTGGAGTGTAGGTGTATTTTATAAGAAGTGAAGTGAGTGTCACATCTATCTATTCTACTGTACGAATGATAGGCGACTTATCATCCACTGTTTGCCGTACTGGGAGCTGGATTTGTTATACCCAACAACTTGACCTCAGGGCTTTGTGTGGGAGCCTAAGGCCTCTTTCCCGACCTGTCAGTTCGGCGTACGATATTTTGGGGAGGGGAAGTTTGGCCTCCATGGTTTACGTTTCGGCATCCCAACAGACTTAGACATTTCTCCAAAGAAAACTAGAGATCGGTGAATTTTTTATTTTTTATTTTTCATGTATCATTCTGTTTTTATTTTTCTGATTTTTCTTTTTTAACACTGAAAAAAAAATTGTACTGCATAACTATTTCTTAGTTTTTATTATTTTTGTAGTGATCAAACCAACAAGAGATGCATCTTTAGTAACCAAGGAGCACAACCTCTCTCACATTTCCCCCTCCCTTGTCACGGTGGCCTCCCTCTCTCCACTCTTCCCTCTCATGCAACTTCTTTTATAATTAAATTTGTAAGGCCTCATTTGACAACAATTTATATATTATGATCATTGGTTTTTGTCTGTTTTTATGATTTTAGTTTTTAGTTTTTCATTTCTTTAAAACAAAAATAATATATATTTGGTAATTACTTTTTTGGCTAAAGATGTTTGGTAACAATAGTATTCTTTCCAAAAAGATAGGGAGTTAAAAGTTGGATTTTTACCCTTAATTTCGATTAATTAATTAAATTAATTAATAGTTTCATGATAACAAATACTTTGTAGTAATTATTTTTGTTGGGTTAGAATTACTATGGTAAGCAGAGGCGAATTAAAGATTTTGTATCAGGAAGTCACAAATACATATAATATATCAATCTTGCACCTTACCTTTAAATAAATTTTGCAATCTTCGCATTGACCTTAAAAAGTAACACAAAATTGACCCATTGATAGATTTTCATTTAATTTATTATTATTTGTTTTTTGAAAAATATATTCTTACGTGTCAAATGAATTAGAAAACACGTATTTGATACAATATGGATAGGATTTAAACAAAAAAACGAATTTGGACTTGACTTTTTAACTTAAATTTGTAAGTTTTGACAAAGTTATTAAATAGTAGATTTTGTGTCTTAATCAAATTAATTGAGAAACTTGATTTTTGTTAGGGCCCGTTTTATAACCATTTCGTTTTTTGGTTTTGATTTTTGGTTTTTAGTTTTGCAAAACAAGATTGTTTCATAACCAATTCAATTTTTTATTTTTTGTTTTTCAAAAGAAAAAAAAATAGTTTTGAAAACGAGGGTTTTTTGTTTTTCAAAATCTCATTTTTTCTTCTAATATTCAATTTTTTTTCTTTCTCATGTTTATCTCTAAAAAAATTTATTTTTCACTCTGAAATTTTTTTATTTTTAAATTTCTCTTTACAAATTTTATTTGTCTCTCTAAAATTTTCATATTTTGAATATTTATTGTTATTTGTCTCCCTCCAAATTTTTGTCTATCTTCGTTTTTTTTAATACTTTTCCTAACTTTTTTCTCTCTAAAATTTCACATTTTATAACTTTTATTTCTGTTCCTCTAAAAATTATATTTTATTTTCTCCTTCAATTTTCTTTCACTTTAACTTTTATTTATATTTGTATTTATTTATTTTCTATAAATATTATATTTTGAATCTTGTTTTATCTCTAAATTTGTTTCCACGATAATTTTTATATTTCTTTATCATTTTTTTTAACATATCTTTCCTCTCGACTTTATTTTTTTCTCCAAAATTTTTCTCTTTTTGTCTTTAACTTTTCTTTCACTGTTTTTTTTTCTAAATATTTTATTTATCTCTCTAAAATTTATCTTCCAAAAGTTTACTTACATCTGTATTTTCATGTCTCTACATTATGAGAAGACAAAAATTGCCGCAGTGTTGAGTCCCAAAAATAGAAAATGCATGTCCTGACCCTGTCCCCGTCCCCGATTCCATTTTTTAAATAATTAATATATATTTATTACACTCTTTTTATACTTAAATTCTAAAAATAATTAAAAACAATTATAAAACGGATAATTTTTCTCGAGAACATCAATCAGACCCTAGAACGAGGTGGAGATGGAGACTAAAAATTTTCACGAGCCCGCGAATGGGGGAGAGCATCTTCACTCGCACCCACGTTGTTGTCATCTTTCTATTTTCAATTTTCTAACCTTTTTA